AGTTAGGAAACTGTAGAGGCAGAAATAATGTCCGAGTGTCCTGAAGTCAAACAGGTTGTCTCTAGGACAGTTAGAAATTGAACTCACATGTCTTGCTCAGTCCCACTGAATTACAAGACAATCTTTTTTCAAAATAGAAGAAAATGCATTTGTTAATACAGTCATCTCAGTGCTTTTCTGTGGATGCTCTTTTGAGCATTTGACTTTTTTCTTTTAATTCATCCTGCTCTCTTTTGTTTCATTTCCTAGCTTGCATCAATATATAATGCATGATAGAATGGGATTCAGAACTTCACTGTGTGAAAAGTTGAACCAGACTAAGCTTAAATAGTAGTTTGAACGTAACTAAACCATTCTTTTGAAGAGAATATATTTCTAGATAAACTTTGTTGCCATTGCTGTGCCGAAGATTGGTCTGTGTCCACATATTTTTCATAAATAGGTGAATACTCAAAGATAGTGTGATACTTCAGACCTGCTTATATGAAAGAACTTGTTAGTTCCAAAAATTTTTCTATTAAAAAAAACAATCAAACAAAAAAACCTGATACTGTCTTAGACTATGGGCAAAGTTTTAATTATTTTTTTTTGAAATTTTCATCAACTGATAACTTTTAATGCAGTGTACGTACTTTCAAACTGCTGTGTCTGATCCCTCTCCTCTGCCAGTTGTACAGCGTGGATCATCTTTTCCTGGAGAAGGTATCTGCCTTTGTACAGGGGGATTTGTTCAGGTGCAGGGTTGCTTTCTTGTACTGATTTCCTAAGACCTATTTTTACTGTGTGAAGAAACTAGCTGTCAACATCCCAATCGGCTATAGTCAAGCTCCATGTTTGAAAAACACAACTATTTGTTGTGTAACTTGAAAAACTCTCAGGAAGCCATTGAAGAATGGGAAACGTTTAGTCTCTGTTGGGTTTTAATATCTGAAAACTGTTTCGGAGGTTGTGACTGCTACTGAATGCAGGTATAAAATATCAACCTTTGACATTGTTGTGGCAGCTCTGCTTTTTTAACCGCTTGCCTGAGGCTGTGTAGAACGGACTTAAACAATTAACTGAATCCCCAATCTGAGGGCTAGACTCACTCTGGGTTTTCTGTATTTCATTGAAGACAAGTTGCAAGCTGGCATTTTGTTGTGTGTGGTTGTAGACAACAGCCAAAAGTTATTTTTTTAACTAGCACACCTGAAAAGAGTCTCAGGTGGAAGGCAGGTTGTGCATGGAGTGTAATTTGCTCATTTACAGCCTTCTCTTTAAGCTTAACGTTTTAGTTTTTGAAGTTCTCTGGAGCTTTTTTTTTTTCTTTTTCTTTTTTAAACTGTCTCCAGATAGAAGGAATGGAACTCTGTGTGGAGAGACTGGATTGGGATGTGTGTTGAATCGTGCAGTTGGTGTCTCCAGAAGGAGTACTGGAAAAAAGATCTTGCAGATAATGTACATCTTGCAGTATTTTAGCATGAGCAAAAATCTTATGAAATGATTGGGCTGACTGGCGTGGCAAGAATAAAATCCTTGTTTGTGAATGTGATTCTTTTTAAAAAAAAAAAAAAAAAGCCTAGTTTTTGTACTGTGGATGTGTTCATATTCTGTCTGCCTTTGGAAAATTAACTGCAATATCGAGTGCACCTTGGTATGAATCTATCTTAAGGTTTTACTGAGAAGAATACTGCAAAACTTAGAGCTGTCCGGGCATATAAAATAGCATTTGAAAGGAAACGCATCTTACAATTTTTAGCTCCGCTTTGTCAGCGAGGTACAATAACTGCTGATTGTGCCTATTTAGGCAACGAGCGTGTTATGAACACAGACAGAATTTTAGATGACAAATGGAGGAAAAACAAGAAGAGACCTGCATACCAGATATACTTGCTTAATCAAGATTCTTGAAATTTTACTTCTGAACAAAATAATCTGTAATTTTTTAATAGTGATTGTATTGTTTTCATCTTTAATCAGTGGCTGTATGTAGTCGCTACGTGCTTCCTCCTTTTCTCTGTGCAACACTGCTTCAAAGTGCTGTGAACTTCACAAGGAAAGGCTAAAAAATATCCCTTCTTAATAGTTTACTCACAATATATTTAGCATCAGCGCTCAGTTTTGAGACCAAGGACATTTGTTCACTTGGTTCCTTGAATTCCAAAATTTTATTAAAAGCCTTGTCTGGTAATTTTGCTACCCATTTTGTAATGTAGCCATGTTGTTGACTATGTCAGGTTGTTTCTCAAAGTGGTTGCTATCTCTTAATGCCACTGAGCTAGGAGACGACTAGGGGGATCACAGAAACATCAAACCCAGCACAAAGTAATTTCCTTGCTTCTTTGTAATTGCTGATCAAAATGAACTTTTCTTTAGTTCAACAGAAAAATTGTGTGCACAAAGGATATCATTTTTGATAAGCCTCCTTTTAAAAAAAAAAAAAAGAGCTTTAGAATTAATTATAACTTTTTAAAAAAAAGGAAGGTTATCTTAAAATTCTGTGAAATAAGTTATAAAATTCAATTGTGACAAAGTGCATGGCTAAAGTTCTGTATCTACACCTGCATTTTTTATTCTTCACGTGAACTGAACAGTCCTAATTGCACTGGGGTGCCTACGGAACGTCAGTGGGGACTCGCAAGGCACAAAGGGCTCCTGGATGCCCGGTGCGTCCGGATGCCTGGAGCAGTGAGTGGTGGGTGTCCATAAGTGTCTCTTTACCTCTGGGTTTAGACAAACTTGAAACAGTTTGCAGCAAATAATGTGCATCAGAGAGCACTTCTGATTATTGTGCTTGTAAAAAGAAAGGCTATATTGACCAAAGAGGGGGAAAAAGTGCCCTTTCTGAGTGCTTGAAAAAGTCGTGTCCTTTCTTGTTACAAAATTTTGCCAGTAATGACATTTGGGTGTGACTAGAGCAATTAAATTTCCTCAAAATAGAATTAATGCTAATTCATTAATCACAGATAGGATGATGTGAATTTGCGTTAATTGTGGAAGCATGAGCAAAGAGCTTAGCCAGCAATAGGAGAGCTGCATGTCTTTGAAACTCAAATCGGATCTAGTCCAAGCAACTAGAACATGAAAAACTGTTGCAAATAATTTTCGGAGAACTTTGTTCACACTTCAGCACTTTTTATCTTCAACACTCTTAAAGGAAAAGAGAACTTTGTGAAAATCTCTGCTTCTTGGTGATGGGAGCAACCTGAAAATGTAATTGACAAACTGTGGAACAGAACTGGGTTGTGTTTCTTCCTGGAAACTGTTCTTTCCTTTTCTATCATATACAAATATTATTTTGCTGAGAAGTGATCTAGTAAGTATCCTCTGAGAACTGATCCATTCTGTCAATTTGGAGGAAAGAGCGACTTTAGGACATAGGCCCATCACATCATAAAAATCCATACCACTTTGACTCCTGATATATTAAGTATACTTAAACTGCATATTTAAATATTTATATTTATGTGTAGCTGGGTTTTAAAAATGAAGAGTCAGAGCTTGACCTGATGTCTAATGCATCACCTAATATATATTGATATGTCTGCCCATGCAACGTAAATAACATCTGAGCTGTATCTAAACTGTAAGATAAATGAGTATATCGTATATTTTGCATGGCCTCTAGCTCTAATTCTTCTTCGTCAGTACAAAATCCAACATTCATAATCAACTATTTTCAAAATTACATTTCATAGTAGTATTTCTTCTTTTTACTGTCTAAAAACGTTGCTACGATCTAGAAAAATTCCAGCCAAGGGAGAAATTCCAGCCAAGGCCGATGATAGTACTGCTTTATATAATAACAAAGTGTTTTATCAAGGCTTGGTGTACCCTGATTTGAACTGATGGGAAAGTAAATTTCCTAGGGTAGACCCAAAATTTGTTTTTAGCCCTGAAGATTCTGTAATTATGGACTTTAAGTGCCTGAAATTTTTTGCTAAGGGGAAAGCTATTCCAGGTTGTTTCTAGATGACTGGCAATTTTGTTTGGCTAATTTATAAGCAACATATGTATGAAAAGCTTTCTGGCTTTGCTAGTATGATGGAACTGAAAAATATACTGAGTGCTAATGAACAAAAACATAAACTGGAGCATTTTAAGATCTTGTAGTGCATGCTTGAAAGGTGTGAATGTTAAAACGTTAGTGATATGTGCTATAGTAATAAAAAGTGTGTGCTATTTTTATTATTAAACACCTAGTTATGATAACTATGGTGCTTTATTGAGAAATATAATAACAGGAAGCATTGCTTATGCAGAGAAGGGCTGGAAGATTTTGCAAGGAAAAACAGCATAACTTTTAGCACTGGAATAATTGGATGAAATTTGCACTTAAAGACTAAGAAAGTCTATTTCAAGTGATGGGTTATCACTTTAATATGAGGACAAATCAAGGGAATGACCTGGCTGTATTAATTGCTCAGGTGATGACAGTGAGTCACAGGTGTGATGTAGGTCTTACTAAGGCAAACATTTCTCAGGTGATAGCAGGGAAAATATTTCCAGGACGAACAAAAGTGTGGATGAATTTGCCAAAGGCGGAGCTAAGCTTGGGAATGTGGCTGCTGGTATGGTGGTGCAAGTGGAAGGCCCCTTCTGCAGGGGGAGGCTGTGGCTCGGTTAGTCTGTCGAATGAAGCTTGAGAAGAATTTGGGTGAGGGTGTGGGTGGGTGTGTGCTGTAACTACATTATGGATATAAATGCTAGTTTGGAAGAGGGAAGAAATATTTGACCTGAAAGTCAATAGTGGCATATGAATGGAGTACAAACGGGCTGTAGATAAATTTAAACTGGAAATTAGAAGAAAACAGGCAAGCACAGGACAGCATTTTTCCCACATCACAAAACTCAGCCTTGTTATTTTTTTATCACAAATGGTGTCTTAGAAATAATCATTTTTTTTGCCCCAGCCACTCCTGATTGAAAGTTTCCAGCATCAGACGAATGAGTTTCTGAAACAGCTGTCCCCTGAAAGAAGCGCAGGCAAAAAGCATAGCTGTTCTCAAATTAAACTTGCTATGCCCGTGACTGTGGTTGACTGTGGTGACCCACTGCTACATGTCATCGCCTGGCGATCTGTAGGTGTCCTGTGCCCCATGCCTGCTTCTCTTATTGCATCCCGTTTCTCGGTTTTTGTTCTGTCCCCAACAGAGGCTACTCTGAGACTGTTCTTGAAAATTGAACAAGGTGAATTGTTCACATTGCGTGTTCACAAGCGTGTGGCCACGCTTCCCTTTTGTGTTTAGCACTTTGCTTTACTGACAGTATCAGCAGTGAATTAGCATTAAATGATCTGGGAGCGGTGAACCATATTAATCTATGTTCTTCTCTAATCCTTTGAATTTACTTTCTTGAAGATATATCAAAGATGAATTTGGTCCATAAATGTATTTAGAAGATAAATACCAGAGAGAGTGAAGAAATACGTTTTATGGTCTTTGTAAAGCTCAGAAATAAATCTGTCATATGCAATAATTGACCCATATGATGTTTTTTTTCCCCAGTTTATTTCAGATCCTTGTGCCAGCAACCCCTGTCACCATGGTAACTGCAGCGCCAGCAGTGATGGCTACCTCTGCGTCTGCAGTGAGGGCTACGAAGGAACAAACTGCAAACACTCTTTTCCCAGCCTTCCAGTCTCTGGACAGACCGAGTCGTCATCACCCAGGCAAAGCAGCCCGGTCTCATCTACCTTGGAACCCGACATTGTTCTTCCTCGCTCAAGAACAACTATGACACTACCTACGTGGCAGCCAAAAGCAGGACAGAAAGTTGTAGATCTGAAATGGGATGAAATAGAGGTGAGAATGTTTTGTTTAAATAGAAATCCACACAAAGGAATGTCTAACAGTTATCATTGTGTTGCCATTTGTGTATAATGTCATGGATGACTGCATGGGATGATTGAAGATATGATTTCTGAATTGTTATTCTGGTAAAATTAACCACTACAAAACTGACATTTGTTAAGGGTAACAGGCTTAAACTTGGCCTTTTTGAGGCTGTTTTTACATACATTGTAGTGAGTATTTCTTTGAAATTAAATAATATTGTTTGTTCTCGTCATTCATGAAAAACAACCCTTGCAAATATCTCCAAACATCAAATGAATTCAAGACAAACAAAAGATTACAGCAGTACTTTTGACATGTTTTTTTTTCTGATTGACAGTTACAGTCCCATGTTGCTTTGTGAATCCCTGTAGTGTTAAGAAAACATAGCTATTTGAGGATTAGAAATAGCAGTCAATATATAACACAGTGCCCAGCTGTAGAGGGAGGGACAGGGAGGAACAACTGAAACCACTTTTATTAATAATCTTAGAAAAATGGCTGAGACTTTTTTTTTTTAAATGAACACACATTAGAAAAACATTCAGTATCTCTGCCTTTTATACAATATCCTTTGGAGGAAATGAGATTGTACGGGCCTGCATAGGCTCTTTTAGGATTTGACATTCTAGTTCTAGGAAACTCTATTTTATTTTGTCTAAAGTTGTGAAGTAAAAATTTAAAATAACCATTTTTGCATGCAGCAGGATTCATATTTACATACAACCTTTTGAGTTATAGCTCTGCTTGTGGGCTCTGTATTTGAATTCCCCCTTGAAACTGCATGTTTGCACAGCAGCTTGCCTAGCTCTGATATCGTCTTAGAAATTCATCTTCACTTGTTATGACTTTCAGTGCAACATGTTACTCCATATTTAAAATATGTGGTTATTCCCTATTCAAAAAAAATTTTCAGATATGCTTTTTTTTTTTTTTTTGCCATGTAAAAATGTTGTATTGTCTCTTATCTTGGTCAGAAGTTCAAGGATTCAGTCAGTCTTTTCTACATTTCATAATAAATACTGGGATGTAAATTACTATTTTCAGATTTAGCTGTCCACATTGACAGGGAAACTGATTGAAAGCATCTCAGACTTACCGATTAATTTTATAGATCCCCCAGAAGATGCCTAGGAAGTTAGAGGAAATTAGTGTGTGATGTTTTCAGAGAAACAGCAGACACAAGTGCACAGTGTCTGCAGTTGCCTGATCTTTTATTAAATTCTTATTTTTACAAGATACTGCATTGCATCACAGGTATGTTGTAGACTTCATTTATGATGGCCTGCAATATCTGATCCATTTATAGACATTGTAATACGGTTTGGTCTTGTCTATGCATGTTAGCATAAATTATTGGTTTTTTTACCTTTAAATCAGCTTTATCGCACATGTTTACATGTTTGATGGCTCAGACTCGTCTCCCAAGGGCTCCATAGTTTGGATTAAATAGATCCAGTTCATATTTTGTATATTATTGCTTGTGTAAATCATACTGCACACTACACTAAGGAAAACAAAATATAACATTTATTTGCCTCAACACTATTAATGACACAGAACAAATATAAGTAACAGAAAAGACAAATGAGTTATGTTTGAAAGAATGAGAAAATTGTTGGAGGAACATACACTTTGTATATATTTTCTGGGTTATCGGAGCAGTTAGAAAGTTGTAAACACTTATTGCACCTTTTAGTAAATCTACAAACTACAGTATCTGGAATGTACACAACATAAGATCCTTAAGAAATGACCTCTGCTTTCTACTGTTTCTACATTCTTTTATTAGCAAATCTTAGGCGTCTTGCTCAGATGTTAATATCTGCAAACAAAAAAAAAAAGGTAGGAGAACTTAACCCAGTTACAACTAAATATTAATTGTTACATGTGAAAACCAATTATAGGTGGGAAGTATGTATGTCCATAACCTTAACAAAGAAGTATCAATTATCTACCTCTTGATATCTTTGTAATGTGTGTATTAAGTTCATTCTATTACATGACCATCCTCCTCCCTTCTTCTTTGAAATCTGTCACTGTAAGGATGGTTGCGAGGTCTCTGCATTGTTCTCTTGGAGATGTGAAGCCAATACTCCTCTATGTGTCGTTCCTACAGCAGTTGGTACTAGAAGTTTGCAAGCTCTGATCCAGAGAACACCCACTTCTAATAATATTATGTATGTGCAGAATGCATCTTAAAGCTGCGGAAGGGGGTGTTCATTTTGGGGGTAGAGGTGGTACCTTTTTTTGATCTTGTTCAGGGCAACTTAGTAATGAGCACCAGGGATAACGAAGCCTGTTGGTGAAGAAGTATTTTAATTTCAGTAGACAATTAAAATATTTGACATCTTTTTCTTAATAAAAAATTGATTGTAGAGGAAAGTTATTTCATTTGAGTTTACTCAGGAGTAAATACATAAAATATCAGTTGCATCTGTTTTTGAAGTGTTTCAAGGAGTAGGATTCTTCTGAGGTATATTCACACACTCCAAAGCCAAGAAAGCGAACAGGCATGATTTGAATCTGTGAAAAAAAGTTATGTTCTTCATCATAATTTGCTTGGTCTAACAAAGTCATTCATATATCTACTTTAGCTTTATTTAAATAAACTTCTGAAAGTAAAACCGACTTGTATGAAATATATGCTTGATACTGTATGACCCGCAGATTAGATCTGGACTACGAGTAATTATAGGGGCTGAGCATAGGCTACCAAGCATTTCTAACTCACTGTGTCCTGTTTCAGTGGGAGTTATGGTAAGCAAACTCTGGAGAACAGCAGAGCTTTGTTTCTTAAAATACTGTCTACTGTATCTATTATTGTACAGTGGAACATATGTCAGGCAAAGAGCATGGAGTTTGGAGAGAGAGAGAGAGAGCGCTGAAGCAGAAACAGACGATCTGCTTTTATTACTTAGATTAGACACAGTGTCATCCCTGCATGTCCTGATCAATTAAGGGCATGCCCTTTCCTGTGTTAGATTTCCCTTGTTTGTTCTTCAATTTGTGGTCTGATATTTTATTGCATAAGTAACACTTCTGCCTGGTTTGCACTTTATATAGATTCGTTAAGCATTTTAGCTAAACAGGTAGATGACAAGTTGGTATTTTAGTAGCTAAAATCCACCCTTCTGTGTCTTCTGTTAGCTGAGAAATACAAACAGTTTATAAATCAGAATTGCATGATTAACACGAATATGTACATGTGTCTATATGTTTTTAAGATGTTGTGATGGGTCTTGCATTTTTGTCAATCTAGCGTAGCGTAATGATTTTTCTGTTCTTAGGAAGCCATTGCAAGAGAGATGCTTCCCTGTAAGAGAAGGGTTCGCAGATGCTGATTTAAACATTGTCTCTGATCTACATGAAAGCAAAGGGGATGCTGATTTGCCTGAAGGTCCATTCCAAAGCTTCCTTGGTGGAGGCTTCGAGAGCAAAGAGTTAGGTGTTAGCAGGAAGAGGCTCCCTTTTCTCTTAGCTTGCAAAGCTTAACCGAGATCCTTTTTTGGCCTCTTTTAAAAGAGAGAGGGAAAAAAAAAAAGGTAACTATAGGATTTGTATTTCAAAAATCTACTGTTTTAAGCTTTCTTGAGCTTCAGAGGCAAGCAAAGCTGCTATTACTATTGTTTGTTTGTTGAAATCTTCCAGGTCAAGCTGCTTTCACATTCTATACTGAGCCTGCAAGTAGAGTATTGTTCTTCATACTCTGTTTGCCTGTCTGCTCAGAGAGAAATTTTACCAGAATCTTTCCATGTGAAAGCTCTCACTGTTTTGTAGGGGCAAAGTTTGCATGGAAGCTCTTTCAGGAAGGTGTATGGACTCGGAAAAAATGAACACCTGAGACTAGCAAATTATCTAAGAGAAGCATGTTGTGTGGTGACAACTGGACATTTTTTTCCTTTCCTTGGACACTAGGGACATGCTTGGCAATGCGTACTTGACTAGACTTCCTCTGTAACTTTTGTACTAGTTGAAAACATATGGGTGTTTTTAGGGGATGATTTCATTTCTTAGACAGCTCTTGCTTTAAGGAATTAGTCCATCTTTTTCTGATGTGCAATCAGGGGCTATGAACCCAGACCATTAAGGAAAAAATGTTCCCCTCTAATAGTTTCCGTCATGTATCAGGAATTTATCTTTGTGCTCAGCTGTTGAAAAGGAACTTTGTTTTTATTTTGAGCAAGTAAATTGTTCCGCTTGCCAGATAGATACAACTAGCAATCCAGGTTTCCCTGGTCCAATGATCGTTCATATTTCAGTATAGAAAAGATCTATCTCGACAAAAATCAAAGAAAAAAGAAACAATCACTAATCCCACTCAAATAATGGATGCAACAAAGTTTTCTGTATACAAAATCATAAGATAAGAATAGCAGTTCCCTACTCTTACATATCGCTTTTACTAGCTCTCAAAATTTTTTCAAAGGAAATTAGCAGTATTGTTCACATTTTACTGCTCAGCGCTTCAGTGTCTCCAGCAGTAAAGTGATTTGCCAGGTGTGCAGTCGGGAGCTGCAATGCTAAGCAAGTGGGTCCTAAACTTTTTTTTATACTGCAATACTGATGCTCAGTTTTTAGCTTTTGAAACTAGTGATTAGAGACTACAATAAACTTGTAATTCCCCTTGAAATCGGGACAGCGTTTGTTTTATGCGTGTTCTTAGTCAATTTAAAAGGAGAACACCTGGGTCAGGTGGAAACCCCTGAAATAGGGTGAGATTACTGCTGCTCTGCAGTACCTTGAATATTCTTGAGAAATAGTTCTGCTTGAAAGAGACCTTTGAATCTTTACTGCTTTGTGCATTACTAAATGTTCATGCAGTGTTTTTGCCAAAGTCTGCTATGGCGGAGATGGAAAAAAAATTATGGAGGAGATAACCATTTGAAGTCACTACATACATAGAAAATACAGCTTAGGAAATCCTTAACTTGAAAATGGGTGAGGAAGCCTCTATTTTTCTTATGCTTTTAGAAAAAAGATAGCATAGAAACAAGTAGAGGACATTAAATAAAAGATTCTATTGCAATAATCTTAACTTCCTTCTGGGATCATTCTGTAACTTCACCAAATCTCTCCTCTACAATATCTGCCTATGAAACTTTCTGTGCAAAGACCATTCGGATAACAACTTAGCGTAAGTGTCTCTGGATAAGTTACACCCTTTAATGTATTTATTTTCAAAGCAGAAATCAGAGCATCTCTAAAAGCTCAAACAAAACTTACGTGAAGCTCTGCCTGCTTGAACAAAACATATGTGAAGTTCACCCAAGCTATCGTTTGATGCGTTCCATTGCTGAAAGATGTTTAAAGGATGATCACAAATACTAGCTTTACTAAAATCAAAACTCTCATCCTCTTTCA